AAACTAGATGACCCTGAAAAGGTAAAATATTACTAATATTGGTTCATTTTTACATTTTGCATTTTGTAGTCTACTTTGTCAGTATTTTTTTACTGAGCCACACCCAGTATGCGGGAATACCCAAAGATGCACAAGAAAAGACTACGTGGTGATGTGCTATTATAGTATGGTATGACACACTCTGTAAATTAGATGTACTCTTGGTATTATGTGTATGCCATTTAAAAGCACATGTGTAATTGATACACTTTATTCACAGGCTTACAGTTCACAGTTTACAGATAAGATAAGACAAAGGCACATATTAGCAAGGAATTATTTCACACAGTTAGATCTACCAGGAATGATGGAGGAAATGTCAACTAAAGTTAAAGAACTACCTCTACCTCGTCCTAAAGAAAGAATCATTGTAGTTAGGCAACACCCACAGGAACAGCAACAGCAATTAACTGTAAGATATGCTATATAACTATAAACAATAATATTGTTTGAGGTGTGGGATGTTGTGCTCAATGAATTATTGTACATATCATGTTGTGCATAAATAGTAGGTACAATTATACTGTACTACTTAAGTTATCAAAATTGAATTATCTGTATAGTAGACTGCCTTTATAAATGATGCGTGTAACATAATAGTGATCATTAGTTGTGGGAGCAACTGAGGAAGTATAGAATGCACCCAGTGCTCCTTACTATTTTCTTCTCGTTGAGTGTCAGTGAAGTTATTAGATCTAGTCAATCTTGTCCACCTTCCTCAGGTAAGACACTGGATGTGTATAATAACAACTGTATAGGTTTTTATAGGTATCTACCTGAGGCATAATGGAGCCTGTTATACTAATGGATCATATTTTTATGATAATGACATTAAAGGAGCCAGTAATAGTACCCAGTGTGTGTTACCTGATACTGCTCTGAATGGTGGAGAGTGGGTTACTTCTAGTGGATCATCAGTTAACTGTAGTACTAATCCTCTTCGTTGTAATGAAGTATCTTCACCTAATGCTAACATCAGTCTTTACATTAATGGAGGCATTACATCATCTGATGATGGCTGGTACAAGTGTTGTCTACCCACTAGTTGTTCAGGTCCTAACACTAACATCATCTTTGCTAATATATTCAGTAAGTGTACTCATTAAACTGTCACTTTGTTACTGATTTACTGTAGGATGGGCACAGATTGAAACCATCACAGTTGACCTTCCTTCAGATAAAACAGTTCTACCTCAAACATATACACTACATGCCATTAAAATTGGTCATGATGATCACAGTTCTTTCTTACGTGCTGTCAAGTGGTACTATGAGTCTGGTAGTGATAGTACTGAACTCTGCAGTGTAACACACCAACAAACATACAGTTGTTCTATTGGTAATGGAATGTCTTTAAACAAAGGTAATGGAAGGTGGGACTATACTCTAACAGTTAAATGGAATGGAGAAATTATTACTGATGGAGTATTGAGTCAATCAAACAACAATGGGGATCATGTATTTCGATTCTATTTGTATTTTGGTCATCTTGGTGTCATTGCCAATCGAGTAACAAGAAATAGAAACATTTTTGTAACAGGTAAGTAGCAATAAAATGACTTTATTATTTTTTATAGTACCAGAAACTGCTCCCTCTTCTCTTACTGAGGTCAGCAAGACAGCTACCACTATCTTTGTCAGTTGGACTGCACTTGATTCATTTGATGCTGATGGATATGTAGTCAATGTCACTAGTAACACAGACTCTGTGCAGACAGTACAGGTGAAGGGAAGTAGTAATAATGCAATCACACTGAATGGACTAAATATAGAAACAACTTATAACATCACAGTCAGAGCCTATCAACAATTACTGGGACCTGCTAGTACAATCAGTGTACAGACCTTACCAGGTATTGCTACTGCACCTTTTAATGTACTTGTAACATTGTTGATGTATTTCTAGTTATTAATTCAATCAATTGGACACTAGCCTCATCCATTACACAACTCAATAACACTCAATATCGTATTGATTGTCTCACAACTACTGATATTATAAATTCTTCAACTGATGTTTACTGGTTAGTGAATGGAGTGATGAAGAGTAACTCAAACTATTCAATAATTGATGTTCTGGCATACAACAACACACTACTGGTATATCCTGATCCACT